AAGGCGGCCTCTCCAGAGATGCTCTGGCAACTCCGCTCCCGCGCGCCTGCCGCTGGCCGCTTTCTCCACCACCCCCCGCCCCGCCCTCCTCTGATACCTTGGCGAGGTCGGCGCGCGGCCTTGGGGTGGGGGAATCCAGAAGGCTTCTAGAGGCTGAGAACTCCTGTCCTTCACCCTTCTGAACCTCTTCTGTCTCCAAAGGTAAGTGGAACCCTCGGTTCTGTCCTCGCTTACCCAGCGCGGGGAGCCCCGGGGTTATAGTCCATTCCCCACCCCACCCGCCTCCCGGGCCGGTTGCTCCCACCCCAACCTGCTCGGCCCCCCTCCTCTGCCTGGAACTGGGGTCCCGGGTTTGGAAAGCAGTTGTGTATGGGTGCTGAGCAGACCCTAAGCAGATCTCAGCTCCTCCTCAGAGCTAGGCCTGGCCAGGGGACAGTGTCAGAGCCAGAAAAGGAGGCCGAGGGACAAGGGCACACGGAGTAGTCCTCACCCCGACCCAGCTTAGATAGAGGTCGGTGGAGACATCTCTCCGTTGCGTTGCAAGCGGCTGTGGGTGTGGCATTTGATGCAATTTTTTTTTAACTTGGTTCCCACACCTTGCCTGACACTCAGTAATTCACTAGGTGGAGGAGATCCTCTGCTGGTGGAGGGGAAAAATGTCAGAGCTGCGGCCCTATTTAACTGTTAGCGCACCACCAAAGGAACAGACAAAACGGGGGAAGGTGGTCCATTTAGGGATGCTCAGGTTGGAGTGGAGATATGGTTTTCTAGATGTCCTTGCCTGGGGGCTCTCACCTCCCCCGCATTTTCTGAGAGGTGATCGGGCTGGGATCTTCTGGTAACAGAGGACTAGAGGAGCCGCAGGAGAATTGGAGGAGGTAGGGGCTCCGTTGGCCCCAGGCTATTTGCCTGAGCCTAAAAGCCTGACTGGGCTCCATCACCTAGTCTTCCTACAGGCCCCTCTCCTCCAGGCTGCAAATCCCTAGAAGGCAGTACCTGGAAAAGGGATTTCCCAATCTGCTCCTTACCTCCCGGGCACCCGCAGGGAGGGCTGGGAGACAGTTGGGCTCCAATCCCTGAAGGAGCCTGGAGGCCACGAAATAGGAGACTGATCTCCCTCCTCAACCTTCCAGCCTTGTTTGAACTCTGCAAAAGTCAGGTCCCAAGCCCAAGTTGCCCCAAAAGGGCAAGATAGGGAGGGCTGCAGGGTTGGGCGGGGGCCCAGGCACTCCCACTCAGCCCCCCTTTCCTCTTCCCTTCTCTCCGCCGGCCAAACCTCAGCTCACACCCCTTCTAGGGCTGAGGCCCGGCCTAATTTGCATACGAGGCAGAACCGCTTTCTGCATACTAGACAGTGACCTTGAACTGGGCCACTGCGGTCTCTGGACAGACCAGGGAGAAGGCAGCACTGCGTGGTATCATCACCGACCCTGGGTCGGCGGAGGAGCCAGAATACAGTAGCTCACAGCTGACTCCCCGCGGCCTAAGCCGCCAGCAGCCGCGTTGCCTCTGTCACCAGAATCGGCGTAGATTTTATAATTAACTCCTTTCGCCGGGCTCAGCCGCAGTGGAGGCCGCTAAGATGCGGGAGGGATGGAGGCACAGAGAAGGTGTGAGAGAGGCAGCAGGGCAACCAGCTGGCGGACGAGCAGGCTGCCTTGGTCTTCAAGGAAAGCCTTGGACCGCATCCTTGCCTTCAGCTTTAATTAACCCCCGAGTTAATGAGCGAGGCTTAGTTGAGCCCGGCCAGCTGCGGCGGGAACCAGTGGCTCAGGGGCCAGAAGGCAGGCCACCGCTCTAGCCTTGTGATTTGATAAATGTGTGGAAGAGTTCGCACCAATCGCTCCACGGTTCGGCTGCCTCGGCCCGACCACCTATAGTTTTGTGTGTGGTCAGCGAAGTGCCGGCGGGTTAAGCCTGGCTGTACACGGCTGCCCAACGCCTTGGGCTGCGAGTTCCTCCCAGTCTTCTAACCTAGCCCCAGCCTGCTCCCAGCGAGCAGTTCTCGCTGAGACTGCATTTAGATTTGAAGCGTTTCACCCGAGCCTCCTGCCGGCCCCGGGGACCCAGGTTGGGAGCGGCGTTTTTGTCCAAGCCCGGTTAAAAAACGGGTGCCTGAGCTGCGTGTGTCGCGGGGTTCCTCAACCGCAAACAGAGCCTCGGTGGCGCACCGGAAGGCTGGACGCTTAGATTGCTTGGGTCCTTGCCAGGGTCCTGAAAACCCCTAGGTTCACAGTGGGTCTCGGGGAGCAGGACACTGGGGATGCGAATTTTGCTAGTGGTTGTCGGCAGCTCTCCCTGAGAGGAATCGGGGTCAGCTGCACGGAAGGAAGAGGGGTTTGTGAGTGCCTCTTTGAATCCAAAACCTGGGGGAAATGGCCCGCTTTGGTGGGGCTAAATCAGGCTAGGAGAAATGCATGTCTGGAAGAAGGAAGTCTTCACCCAATCTTCATTTCTCCTGCGTTGCACCCGCCGCCCTGTGGCCGCTGCTCCTCCAGCTCAGCGGCCTGGCCCTGGAGGGCAGCGAGCAGAGCTCCAGGCCTGGGATTTGCCTGCTGGGGTGCAGGGAATGGGAAGAGGCTGAGACCTTCCACCTGGGGTCTCCCTTCTAGGAGATTGGAGTTATCTGGAAAGGGAAAAGAGAATAGGGAGAATTCTCTACCCCACAAAGGCTAGTGATTATTGGGCATAGCCCAAGCTCGGCATCCCTCACACCAACAACAGCATCTGAGTGCAGAGGCCTGGAGAGCCTGGGCAGAAACCTCGCTGCCGGCACAGTGTTCTAATTGAAATCAGCAGCAATATTAAAGTCACACCCTGTTTATTTTTATGACCAAAAAAAACCACCAAATAAAATGTTTTTAAAAAACTAGAATTTCAGTGGCACTCATCAATGCAGCTTGAAAAGGAAAAATAAGATGTTAGAGATGTTGTGACATGGAATTTGCAGCGGAGGGATGCTTCTCTCCGCAGCCTCGCGGCTCCTTGTCAATTAGACACAAAAAGGCCAATCCAGGCTGAATCTCCTGCTCATTCCTTGGCGCCACCGGCTCTAACTGAAGGTGACCGCTTCAATTTGCAGCCCACCGCTTGCCCTGGGTACCAGCCTAATGCGGGGCTGGCTCCTGGGCGCAGGAGGGGCCGGGCCAGGCCCGGCAGCTAGGAGAGCAGGGGCGGGGAATGGGAACCGGCCAAGCGGGGCGAGGGGCAGGCGCCGAGTTGCGAGCTTCGTATTGCTTCGGGCAGGGCGGCGCCCGCGGGGACACATTTCTGTCGGAGTGAGCAGCTACGTTTGGGATAAGAAATCGCCCGGGGAGCGGTGGAATTCAAAGAATCTGCGTTTCTCTTTGCTGCGTCCTGCAGAGGAGAGAGGGGAGGGAGAGGAAAAAAAGAGAATCTTCTCTGCTTCGGTCTGCTTGGTAGCTTAGGCTTATTCTCAAGCTGTCTCTGATATTTAACTTTGACCTAAATGGGTCTCTTTCGCATTCTTTCCGGCTCTCTGTCTCCAATTTTCTTTCAATATTCTGGTATTTTTTCGTATTTAGACGTTCACTAAACTATTTACCCAACCCTGTACTACTTAAGGCGTGCATTGGTTAGCAGCTCGAAATAATCACATGGAAATAGTGTTTTCTCTGTTAGACCCCAAAAGGATACATCTGGTTTGGGGGAGTTTAATTTTGCCTTCCTTTTTAATACGCTTGGCTGTATTCTGTGGACCTAGTTGAGATCTGATTGTGGTTTTGCAGATGTTGATTATCTCACCAATGGCCAGCGTTGGCTTCTGGCCTTCTCTGGAGGGAGCTTCTGAGTTTGCACCATAAATATAATTTCACCCCCAATAAGATAATTCTTCAAGGATTTTTTCCCTTGAAGAATTATCCCTCAGGAGGCAACCTACTGCTGGCTTCTGCACTGCTATCTGATGGTCCCGGGGCAGGCTAGGCGGGTTATGGGGTGCGGGCGTCTCCTCCGCAGTGAGAATTAGGCCCCTCTCAGGCCAGTCAAGCCCTGTTAGGGGTCCAAAGCTTCCGGCTGCAAAGACTCCAGGAGGCCCCCAGAAGCTTCTCAGTGTCCCGGAAATGACAGCGGAAGAGTAGGTCGAGCCCCCAGATGTTCAGGAGCAGGCAGACAGGTCCATGCGGAGCTAGGCACCTCCTTTTGCTGCATTCTCTGCCTCCCTTCTGCATCTTTCCTCTAACCGTAAGTGGAGGTGTGAGGCTGGATGGCTCCCGGCTCCGGAGGAAAACCCGGCATTATCAATTATCCTTGAGTATTTCTTGGCGAAGAGGACTCCAAATGTCTCTCCAAATTCCTGAGGATAAAGAGCTGATAAAGAAGCGTGTGGCAGCAGCTGGGGCTGGGAGAGATAACGGCAGGGAAACCTGTCCTTACCCCCACTTCGCCTCTACTGTAAATAAACCCCGAGCCAAAGGGCTCATCCGTCTCCTTAAACAGCCAGTAAACTTTATATGACACAATATCTAATAGTAATTTATTGGGGAGATATTGTAAATTCCAACGGTTTTAGTTAATAAAGAAGCTAATTAAAGAGGGACGGGCCGTGCTTGGCCAGCTGTTGGCGATAGGATAATACTGGGGTGGGGGCGAAATGCACGTTATAGTGGTGTATATATGCGGGCATTTTTTGGTGTGTTTTTTTCCCTTTTGCCCCGTGTTGGGCAATTGCTTTACTCTCTGCGTTAGGTTATGTGTATATATATATATATATATATGTGTGTGTGTGTGTGTGTGTGTGTATTTTAAATCAGAATTCGGCAAATAAACCTGCTCCCGCCATTTGTTCCCCCCGCCCCAGGACTGGGGAAGGGGGAAGTTGGAGTTGGTGCGGGATGGTGGCAGGGGCGGGGGTCGGGGGGGGGGGAGTCGGTAGTCCCCACCCCTCCCCCTGGCGGCGGCGCCCACGTGAGCGGGGCGGCCAATGGGTGGCCGGTGCAGGTTTAACTATGTTTAATGTCAGATAGCAATAAAGTAGAAGCTGCCGGTCGGGCCCCGCGGAAATGGGCGAGCATAATCTCCTGAATCCCGGGTTTGTGGGGCCGCTGGTAAACATCCACACGGGAGACACCTTCTACTTCCCCAACTTCCGCGCGTCCGGGGCGCAGCTTCCCGGGCTGCCTTCGCTGTCCTACCCACGCCGCGACAACGTGTGCTCCCTGCCCTGGCCGTCGGCGGAGCCGTGCAATGGCTACCCGCAGCCCTACCTCGGCAGCCCAGTGTCTCTCAACCCTCCTTTCGGCCGCACGTGCGAGCTGGCGCGCGTGGAGGACAGCAAGGGTTACTACCGGGAGCCGTGCGCCGAGGGTGGCGGCGGGGGCCTGAAGCGCGAGGAGCGCGGGCGCGACCCAGGAGCCGGGCCCGGGGCAGCGCTGCTCCCGCTGGAGCCGTCGGGGCCGCCTGCGCTCGGCTTCAAGTACGACTACGCGGCGGGCGGCGGCGGTGGGGACGGCGGCGCGGGACCTCCGCACGACCCACCCTCCTGCCAGTCGCTGGAATCCGACTCCAGTTCGTCCCTTCTCAACGAGGGCAACAAGGGCGCCGGCGCGGGCGACCCTGGCAGCTTGGTATCGCCGTTGAACCCCGGCGGCGGGCTCTCGGCCAGCGGTAAGGACCCCCGCCACTCGCGCGGCGGACTCAAACCAGACATCTTACCAGGTCGGGCAGAGCAGGACTGAGTTAGGGCCGCCTGGGGTGACAGAATGTGTGGTGAGGAAGAGCTTCTTTTAAAATGAAGTGCGGGTGGGGGGAGCCTATAAACATGTAAATATCCCTATAAAGGAACTAGAGAAATTTCCTTTTTTGTCCGCCAGGGCCGGAGGCGGCGGGGAATCGGGAGTTGGGAGATCGTGACCAGGACTCCCCAGGCCTGGGGGTGAGAAGGTGGGGACAGAGAGCCCGGCCCTAGTTCTCCCAGGCGCCTGTCCCTCCACCTTCCCACAGGCCCCCTTTACCTACATTTCAAAAGAAATGCCAGTGGACACGTTTACTCTTTGCCACTCGCCCATGTCTATTCTGACTGATACGGGATGCAGTCCTGAAGGACGTGAGAGGAAGGGACCAGGAAATAGGGAAGAAGAAAACTGGAAAGAGGTCTGGGGAGAAAAGAGGGGACGCCGACATAGAAGGGTCGTGAATTCTGCAGCAGGAGGTAGGGTTGAGAAGGTAAGGGCAAGGAATGAAAGGAAAAAAAGAGTAATGAAGTAGGTGGGGATGGGGTCTGGGTAGGAAAGGCTATTCAGGTGACTGGCCGCAAGGAGAAGGGAGAGGAAGAGCCTGGAGTTCAGGCGTAAGGCCAAGGTGAAAGGGTCTGGGGAAGGGCCTAGGGCACTGGACTGGTCACCCTTTGATCCTCTGGCCAACCCCTGCCATTCATCTCCACCCAGGCGCGCCCTGGTACCCGATCCACAGCCGCTCTCGGAAGAAGCGCAAGCCCTATTCGAAGTTGCAACTGGCAGAGCTGGAGGGCGAGTTTCTGGTCAACGAGTTCATCACACGCCAGCGCCGGAGGGAACTCTCAGACCGCTTGAATCTTAGTGACCAGCAGGTCAAGATCTGGTTTCAGAACCGGAGAATGAAAAAGAAAAGACTTCTGTTGAGGGAGCAAGCTCTCTCCTTCTTTTAAGGGGCAGGACATGAGCACCAGCCCCAGACTGAGCCTGTCCCTGGCAGAGAGCAAAAGAGGGCGCCGCCTAGAACACAGTCCCCGCTTAGAACGCCAGTCGTCTCTGGCAGGCCCTCTTTGGACATCCTCTTGTCTGTTTTGTTCGTGGTTCCCTCCCATACACCCCTAAAAGACCCTGCCAGGTCCCAGAGAGAAGGGAAGAAACCTAGCCAGGGAGAGCAAAAGCCCGCAGCTGCCCGAGTGTGGCAGGGACAGGAAGGCTGAGGTGGTCCAGGCTAGTTTATCTGAGGCGGGACTGGGGCGCTGCGCCTCCGCGGAGGATCTGGAGAAGCCTCGGCCCAGATGTCCCCTTCCTCTACTTCCCTTCCATGGTCTTAAGTCTCTTTGCCTGCAGGAGCAGAGAGCAGGGCCAGTGGAACCAAGGCGCCCTGAACTTGGTGGGATTAGAAGAGGCTGGGAGGAGAGAGGAAGGGTGGAGAGTCAGCTGAGAGAGCTGAGGGAGTCAGGTGGCTCTGGCAGGACTGGAGGAAGTGGGGAACCAAGGAGGAAGGGTGGTTTGTGAGAAAATGATCAGCAAGACCCAGAGTTTGCTTGGGTCTGGGTTCCCCAGGACATCCAGTGGGCCAAAGCTTGGGCATTTGGCTGGCTGGGCTGTGGACAAGGACCATCAGCCTCATGTTCCCTCTAGGATGGGTGGCCAGAACAGTCTCCTGGTCCCCAGCCCTCTCCCGAGTCCCCTGCCTGCCCCAAGTGAACGTCCATTCACAGATGTGCTGCCATCCACTCTTCCGCCGCCTAGGCAGCTGTGGGCCTGGTGCAGCAAGCAGGGACCTGAGAGCCCAGCCGACACAGCCTCAGGCTCGGTAGCCACCCCAGAGGTCCCCACCTGGCTCTCCAGAAAGAAAGTCTAAGAGGCTATAGATGGGGCTACGGAGCACCACACTGATTGGCCGGGAGAGTTTCTGGCAGCCACAGCTGAGGCCTCTGATTCTCCCTTCCCTGCTGGCACTGGCGTTCATGGTCACGGCCGGCCAGAGGCTGGACCAGCGTAATTTATGAGGCAGGAGGAGAATTCGCCCTTAAAGGGGCTACCAGCCATTGAGGCCCCACTCAGCCCCAGTTTCCCAGGCTGGTGACAATGAAGGAGGGGGGATACTGCAGCCCCCCACCCAACTCCCTTCTCTCTTTTCCCTGCCCACCCCCCAACATTGCCTTTTGTCTCCAGACCGGTTGCCTCCGCCTACCGTCCAGCACAAGGACCAGAGCAGAGGGAGGGGCACAGTCCTAGAACCCACTGGAGGTCTGAGAGTTGCTTCTCTGAGCGGGAAGGCCTTTCATCCAGACTTCTTCAGACCCCAGCCTCAGCCCAGTAGATCCTGGGCTGACTTTGGAGAGAAGCAGTGAGAGAACCCACCAACCTTTCTGCACTTCATTTTTATCCTTCTCCCCAAGAGTCCTGCAGCCTCCCATCTGCTGTCCCGCCCTTTCCAGGAGCAAGAAGCGTGAGAAGCAGGGCACTGATGGGAGTTCACTGCAGCCTAGACAGTGTGAAACTGGCCTGCTGGCTTGGAGTGTTTCCCACATGGGGAGAGTCTCCTCTAACAAGCTCTCCAAAGGCCATCCACAGAGCTCTTTACTCTCCCACCAGCACACAGCTTCAAGTTTCTGTACAGGCAGAGGCATGGGCAAACACATACACACAGCTGGACACAGCACAGCACTGGGCCCACCCCAGTCTCCCTAGTGCACTTGCAGGCAGGGAAGTGTCTATAGTCCCCATAGAACCCAGCAGAGTGGAGACACAATCACATGCCTCCATCCCCACTGGGTATCTGACACCTGACACTTCCCCATCCACACATACTTGTTTCACCCATGTACAAGTTCTCCCAAATTACCACCATTCCAGCTGTCTGCAGTCTCCTGTGGGCTTGTCCTAGGCATGAAGCACTCCCCACCTTGCCTAGTCACCCACTGTGCCCCCTTTATGCAGCCCTTCCTGTGATCTCTGGGCTCTAGGGTGCTGGATTTGAGCTCCACCATTCCTAACTAACCTGATTCCCAGCCTAATACAGAAGAGAGACCAGAACGCTCCAAAAGGAGTGGGGGGACAAAGATATGCAATATTCTCTTTCCATTTGCTTTAAACTTGACTTCTGTGAGCTTCTCTGTCAATCTGTGTCTTGTTCTCTGTGTCTGTCGCTGGTACCTAGTGTAGTCCCCGTGGATAGTTGCCCTTCCCCTACCTGCCTCCCCAGCTCTCTGTAGTGTACCCTCCTATTCAAACATCTGTCTTTAGCACGTTTTCCCTTTATATAGTCCTTGTACAGAGTTGCTTCATCATATTAATATTGATAATAATAATAATTAAAACATGAATTATGATTGTGATTTTTTGAAAACAACAATTCTACCCCAAAAGAATGGGAGTCCCAGCCTCCTAGCTGTTCTCCACTTTTTTTTCTCCAGCTCAGGTGAATAATAAAAATAATAAATGTATAATAATAATCAAGGAAGAGTGGTTGCAGGGGCAACAAAAATATACAAGCAACCAAGATCTGTTGATGAGCTACCATCTGCGGTACAAAGCAATTATAGCAGAGAGAAAATTGGGGGGTGGTAGACTTGGGGAAGGAGAGGGAGATTTGAGGAGTCATGGGGCCATAAAAATAACGTGGGCAGACTAAACGAGGTTGAAACCAGCTTCAGAATAGGAGGTCTGTGCTGCAGGAACTTGACAAATAGAAGCTGGGAGAGGGGCACTGGTGGTCTGTACTGGGATACTGGGGCAGTAAGAGTAACCAGTAATCCAGGGACTGAGATGGAGCAGGGTTGGTGGGCTTAGAGCTTCAACCCTGTGATCTTAATCCTGTGGCTTCACTCTGAGATGAAACTTGTGTATTGCAAGATGTTGAGAGGGGGCTAAAGACCCCTTGGAACTAGCAAAATAGGCTCCACCTTTTGAAGCCAGCGACCCCCTCCAGGCCAAGCCAGAGGTAAACTCAGGCCCAGGCCAGTGGTAGAGTACAGATGTGCCCATGAGCCCTCTGCACATCCAACAACCCCTACCTTCTGTAAGAAATGCCCTCTCTCTTTCTCTCTCTTTTGCCTCTTCCTTCCTCTCTCCCCAGTTACCTTTTCTAGCTGTTTGGCTCCCATCAAAGGAGTCTCCTCCAAATTCCCCTTCCACTCTCAGGAATACGAGGGGTCCCCACCAAGTCCAGCCTCTGAGCCACACCTCCTGCCCTGAAATCTTCCTTTCTCTCTTTCCCTCCCTTTCTTTATTCCTATAATTAGAGAAACTAGCAAATTTAGATCAAATACCATTTTTTAAAACCCTAGTCCTAGCTGCTTGTGAAGCTGAGGGGTATGGACAGAAAGGAGACCCAAAGTCTTAGGGTGCTCGCATAAATGCCCCACAGAGTGCAGCATCGATCGAAGACGGGCAGCTTGGGCAGCCATGAGCTGGGGGAGGGGCTTAGTGGTTGAGCCTGGGTCTGAATAAAGGAGGATAGGAGGAGTCTGAGTTCCAGGGAACCCAGGCAAAAGACTATCTGATTCTCAAGACGCGTCTTCACAGGAAGGGTCAACAATAGGGACATCTCTGGCAAAAGAAAAAGAGGGATTTAGGAAGGCCGCAAATAACTGGCCTTTAAATTTATTCCCAGAGACTCTCCCAATTTGAGAGAGAAGACACCTAGTTGGGTGATGTCTCTGCAGATCCAAAGACTCAACGCAAACACTGGGGATGTTGCCAGAGAAGGAAAGACACTAGCCTCCTCCTTATGACTGAAAAACAAATCGCTGGGTCTCCTGGCCAAAGAGGAGGTCATGGCTGGAACCGCGATCCAAATACTTAGGGCGCAGCTGAGCCCTGGATCTGGGTGAGGATTTCCTCTATGTTGCAACTATTTGCCCAGTTTAAGCCCCCAAACTACAATCGACTCTACTAACTTTAAGACAAAGCACTCCGTGTCTCTAGCCGGGTTTTGAGGAGCAAGAAAAGGTAGGAAATAATCCGGATAATTTAGGTAGACAACAATTCTGCTGTTGTGCGTGTATAGTCTTATATCGCCGAATGAGTTCTGTATTTGGACCTGGTTATTCTCGCAGTTATTCTGCTCCACTCTGAACGTGCACAGATGAAACTGGGTATTTCAAGCCACTAAGCCGCTATCGAGCGGGCAGGAGATGGGTCTGGCAGTCTGGGTTCTGTGGATGCTAATGCAGCCGGAAATCCGGCGCGATCGATGGCTCAGACCCAGAGCGGAGCAGGGACCGCTGGCCCCGATCCGAGAACAAAGCAAACCCCGGGGACTTGGGGTTCCGGCCAGGCCGGAGCCCCTACCCATCCTCCCCGCTATATCCAGGAAAGCAGGAGAGGTTTTTTCGGCCCCAGGCCGCGCGGGAAACGCACTCTGGAGCCGCCAATCCTCTCCGCACCGCACCTGGAGGCGCGGAAAGTTCCGGTGCAATTCAGAGGGAGGTGGAAGGCAGGCCCGATCCCACAGCGCGCCTATGCCGAGCCTCGGTCCGAGCGGCCGCCTTTCTGCGTGTGCCTGGGTCGAGACTGCGCTGCTGGTTTAGCGCAGAGAGGCCGTGGCCGGCGCCCGCCGCTGCAGGACTCCCCAGCTTCGCCCTCCGCTCCGCGCTGCAGCCCTGCGCGGTGCTCGCCGTTGCCACTTTAGGAGAGGCCCCGAAACAAAGACGCGCCGGCCACTGGTGGACGACGCGGGCGCCTGGGCCACTCCCTGACTCGCGCCTGAAGTCCACAGCGCCCAGCCCTATAGCGAGGGCTGTGAGACCTAGGTCCAATTCCCCGGCCGTCGCGGCTCCGGCTGCGGTCATCTCCAGGGTCCAGGGAGAGGAAACCCTGCGCGCCCGCAGCCCCGGCTGACCCAAGCAGCTCCAGCGCCCGACAGCGCCGGCAGCGCTGGTCTCCTCCCGAGGGTTGCTGGGCCCCCGCGAAGGACGAGATGACCCCTGCTGGCCGGAGCTGTGGAGGCTGCCTCGCCGAGATCCGGACCTGTCCAGTCGCCTGTTCCTGAGCACCCGAGGCCTGGCGGGGGACGCCCTGTGAGTGTAATAGACCTCCAAGAGCAGCCAGAGTCTGTTGCACTGCCCGGGTTGCGGGAACCAGACCTTTCTCCTAAGCGCCTTCCCTCTGCTGGGCGCGCGGTGTCTCCACGGCGGCGGCAGCGGCGGCCCGCCCTCCTCCCTGGCTTCTCATCGCTGGAGGCTCTGCCCTGGAGGCTCCTAAGACCTGTGCTGCCCGCTGGAGCCTGGCACAGGAGCCAAGAAACTGGGCCTCGACAAGACCAAACACAGCTGGACCTTTAGCCAATCTAAACCAGCCCGTTGCCAGCAGGTGATTTCTCCTCTTCCAGCCAGAGCCGCTTAGGAGGCAAGTCTTCACTTTGTCAGTTTACCTGGCCCAGAGTGGAGAGTTTTCTTCAAAGACAGGTCTGTGAGGATGGAACCCACCAGCAGCCCTTGCTTGGGAAGCTCTCTTTGAAAGGTGCATAGTCCCCATGCATAGCATGGAAACGATATTCCATAAAGCACACACTTGGTCATAGTGCTGCTAATAAATTGAAACACAGTCTAAAATGTACAGATATCTATACTACAGGTACACTCTAGGCATAGAAAATATTTTCTCTATAAAATATAAACACAGAGGCACTTTTATCTACTGTATGTGAAAGCAACCCACTGGGAAAGGATTACATACAGCACGTATATTCACCACATGTAAAACTTTATTTACACATATAACCACTACACACACATCCTACACAAGGAATGTGCAGTCCTGAGTCTATTTAGCGACATGTGAGTATATACTCCATAAGGCATATAAAACCAATAGATAGAAAATGCACCTAGATATTAATATGTCTACATTTTAAAACTGCACGGGAAATACTATATATACAGAAGGTGCATATCTACCCAATGTATGGAAAATACATTCTGAGTTATGTTTATAAATATGCTGTGTGTGTGCTAAATACATTGAAAGTGCATTCCTCTGGGTTTGTGAACTGTTTAAGACACATTTCTCTAGCAATCTTACTAGCAGGAGGAAGTTCAGGCATTGGCAATGGTAATCTCCATCTGCTGGGTCTTTTTTTTTCTGTTCTTCTGTACTTCCATTATTTCTGTCTTTTAAATCCCCCTTCTATGTCTACATGCGTTACTTACATAAGTGTTCTCCTATGTCTATTTCTCTGTTGCAACTTTTGTCCCAAGCTGGGGTCTATATTTAGAGTGCAAAGTCCCTTTTGCACCAGGGTCCCACTGCATAATCATGCCTGTATGGAATAAGCATGATATAATTAGGTTACCCATGTGTCTCAAGATGCATTCTTCTAGACCTAATATAAGTATATTATAGTTTCTCTGCACTACCTGTTAGAAAAGGGTGGCACCGTGGCTTGGCAAGGCATGTAACAGGCAGATGGATTCCTGAGTGGGTGCTGAGCCTTCAAGGGCTTCCAAAGTCTAGGGCTGGTTTCATTTTTATTTTTTATTTATTTTATTTTTCATTGTTTTCTGAGACTGAGTCTCACTCTGTCACCAGGCTGGGGTGCAGTAGCGCAATCTCAGCTCACTACAACCTTTGCCTCCCAGGTTCTAGCTATTCTCCTTCCTCAGCCTCCCCAGTAGCTAGGACTATAGGCGCACACCACACCCAGCTAATTTTTGTATTTTTAGTTTTTGTATTTTTAGTAGAGACGGGGCTTCACCAAGTTGGCCAGGATGGTCTCGATCTTTTGACCTCGTGATCCGCCCCCTCGGCCTCCCGAAGCGCTGGTATTACAGGCATGAGCCACTGCACCCTGCCTGGTTTCATTTTTTATAAATTATTTTTGAATCATGAGCATAGAAAGCAGCATGAAGCAAAGGCTGGACCTCTGCTTCTATGTCCCTCTCACATCCCAGACGGAGCAGCTCAAGTCCCCCGCATCCAGCTGGGACAGAGAGGTTTCTGGGTCACACAGCCCCTTAGCTTCCTTGTAATTCTTAAACTGGCCTGGGTCTTCACAAGTAGCAGGGAAGGCTTTCCTATAACCCAAGCTTTTTTCCAACAAAACACGCTCCCAACCCCTTTGGGGAAGCATTTTCTGGCACTGAACGAACTGTTTTGGCCCCCTAAAATTAGTCCCATTTGGGTCTCTCCTTAGCAACTAAAAATCCGGAACCCTCTGACACATGCCTATGGAAAAATTCTTTGAGAGACAGTGCACTCACGCCCAACAGAGATATTGTTTATGAGTCCTTGGGTTCGGTGTAGACGCCGCCATATTTTACAGTCCAAAGGAATCAATTAATTAGCGCCTCCCAGTCCCCCCGCCGGCCCGCTGCTCAACTGA